GGGCACCGCTGAACAGCATTAGTTAAAAGAAAATACCTTGTTTTTTTTTCGTTGCTTTTGCTGACATTTTTTTGTTCTTATAGAAAGAATAACAGTAATAAATACCAGGTGCTCCAAAATGCTTGCAACGTTCTTTCTTTTAGATATATCTCGGTCTAGAAATATGATAGGATATTAACTTTGTTGTTGAAGGATGCCGAATTCGATTCTCTACAAACGTCTATTAACCTGAATTTAGAACAATAGAACTAAACGTTTTATTAGCCACATACTCTGATTATATCAATTGCCGCTACTTCCCACGGATTTTTACAATCTTTTGCAAATTTTCTTCCAAGTTGTAAACAGGCACTGAAAAGATTGAGTATGGGTAATGCGAACAGCCTGTTAACTGTATGCCAAAAAATGGCCTGTTAATTGTTTAAAAATCGAATGAAAATTGTCATTTAACAGCCATTATAATGACAATTTTTTGACTTTGAAATAACGGTGAAAATAATGCCAGATTATAGGCAATGTCACTAATTTGACTGGAAAATAGTTTTTCAAAAGTTAAAAACGACTTTTTCTTACTCAAGCTAAAAAAAATTATTACTTGAAGTTTGAGTTGCCAGCATCGTACATTTCATTCGTGTTTTTAAAACTGTAATTAATCCGAAAATTTTCAATCTGAGGTAGTATGAAATATTTTTCTAACGGATCATGGCACACCCTCGGCCCTGTGTCGGATAGGTCGCGACTGCTATCGCTGAATACTCGCCAGGGAGCAGGTTAGAGTTCTTTAGCGTTCTTTTCAATTACTGAAATTTATGTTCGTACACTTGCCGATGATGTATGGCTAATTATTTTTAGCTAAGTTTCGTGTAATCCAGCGCCGGGAAAAACGAATTTTACATTCTGAAGCTGAATAGGAATTGAAAGATGTTTTTGGAAATAGATACGGAGAGTATCTTTGTTTTTTCATTAAGTGTATTGCCGGCGCACTCCGGAAAGGTATCTCAGAACAAGATTTGAATAGTCCTTACCTTAAAAGATTTGTTGATGATAACCAAAAATCTATATGATTTACGTGAATATCTAATCGAAAAATTAGGTGTAAGGATGAACCGCTAAGAGTTTTTATTTATACGATATAACTTTGGTTTGAATTGATAGTAATATAGTTAAACAATTTTATTTTATCTGTCATAATGTTGATGGTTTTAAAATTACGTTCCTTTTACAGTCACGGTTCTGATGTCTTATTTTAGTTTTCTTTGATCTTGCAATCAATTAGAGATCAATCGAGAGGATACCACAGACATATACGCTAACGTTTCTATTTCTATCCTCTTTCTCTAGAGAGAAAAAGAGAAATGCGATGACGATTTTTTCTTTCTTTAATCATAACATATCACGATTCACCCGACACACCAAAACTGTTTAACTCAATCACTCATCAAAGTTTTCTCAGTCGTCTTTATTCGAGTCTTATTCATTTATTATTTCGTTCGAAGTCAACGCTATTGTATCGAAAGCAACTAAGTGTCGTTTTAATTCATTTCCTAATACATAAATTTCTTAGACTTGCGTTAGAACTTGAACATAAAAAGTGATTAGTAGTAATCATAAGCACGACAAATTTTATTGTATTTGTAGCCCGAGAATACAAAGAGTAAAATATTCAAAAGCAAACTATAACAATAAATAAGCAAAAGTAACTACTTTATTTATTGTGCCTAAAATACTGCTTGCTTCTGATCGCTTGCACTTTTTATAAGGATAATTAAAAATTTGCTGTCATCAGATTGTATTACATAAAACAACCAATATTTCATGTACTTGAGAGACAGTAAATAGCTGTTTCAAATGTAGGAGACTTAATAGTCTTATTGCTAGAAAGGTGAAGTGTTGTTGATGTTGGTTCAATAGTAACCATACACAGATTTACTCCATCTTCATCATCAGTTTTACCATCGAATAAATAATAATTATCCTTTTCCGTTCTTATTAGGCCAATAAAATGATTTATGTGATGAATAACAAAAGCTCGCTGTAAATACCTAAAAGAAAAAAACCGTTTAAGCGTTGGTTACATGCGAAATTCAGTAAAAATATAATAAGAAAATTGTACTTAAGAGATATAACAGATATTTAGTATGTGCAATGCAATTTGATTTGAAAATAATCTAAAAGACTTTTGATAAGATTAGAATGTAGATGATTAGGTTAGACATATGTTTCTACTACGAAAAACATAATTCTTGCTTATTTTTCAATTTGTAAACAAAAGTAAAAGAATTCTCACCTGTTTGTTCCAACTGTTAACTGTTGTGGTAAACCATATAATGTCTTTGTATTATATGGAAGATTGATGAGGAGAAATGGTGGTGTATTAACAAAATGATTCACTTTTGTAATTCGTGGCATTTTACATATTACTTTTAGACTAAAAGTTCACAATATATTCACCATAAGAAGTATAACTCCGAATTAGTTGTCTTACACTTTTCTTTTTGCTTTTGTGTCAACATCTTCTACAATCATTTCGTTCCATCCATAAACTCCCGTATAATGAACTGAACCACCTGTATAAGGATCGATAATATTTTGACCACATTCAGCGGTACGTTCTTCTTGAAATTCAATTAGTGTCTGTGGAAATTTGTTAAAATCATCTTTGCTGCAATAGAATAAAAATAGTTTAAGCAGTAGAAGCTAATACTATTGGTCATAGTATTAAGTTCTGAACAGAAATGTGTTCATATCAGTTGTTCGCTGTCGACTGATTTTGATCTTCTTTATTGAACCAAAATACAAGAGCAATGGTTATTTTTTTAATAACTCTGCATCAAATAAAGATAGAGACTTGTGGTTTTAACCATTCGATAGACAAAACTTGAGACTATCGTTCCACAAGCAAAGCCGATTTTCGG